GACGCTATGTAATTTAAGTTAAAATAAGTGAGTTACGACCAAATGTATTGACAACACGTGTCTATTGTGGTTTTGAGTAAACCCGGGGGGAAATGGTCTAAATAGAAATCATAAAAGACAGAACTAGAAGGTAAAACGGTGACTTTTTGTCAACATTAATTTTATCTGGACATATATAGCACAACCTTTAGCCATACAGAACATAAAAATTGAAAATGCAAGATGACACAAAGGACTTCAAATGATTGTATTCACCCCTAGAAAACAACATACCAAATCATTTAAAAAAAGAATTCCCTCAGTCATTCATATGCGATTCACAAAACTCGGATGTTAGCACGGTTAGCTTAGCCTGTTTACTAGAAAAATGACTTAACATTCTACATATATCCACGTATATGGTGTGTGAAAGCCAATCCCTGATACAGCTAACTCGAAGGATACAAGAGGGTGAATTTAGAGCTGGATAAAGAAGTGTAAGTAAATATTACAAAATTATACCTAAACCTCTAAATGCTTGTGTTTTACAAAACACCATTTGGCTTTAATATTAGAACAACAAAGTTAGTTTTGGTAATAAATTACATTTGGTGCAATTTTACCTTAAATAATGTAAATATGTCCCCTAACACTACAGAGGGAAACAAGCCTCACATAAAAAGTTAATGATCTATTTAAGATTACATTTTTTGTATTTCTCAGCTAAAGACAGAATGAGAGTAAAATTAATCCAGTGACTCAATTAATGTACTCAATTTAATGTACTCAACTTAATTTATATTTATACTGCCAAAAATGATTACACTTGAGTCAAAGTAACCGCTGCAATTTATGCATTCTTATGAATTCTGTTTTTGTTATTAGTCAAACATTAATCAGCAGCTGTTTGGTTGACCTGTGCTTATCTGCTGGTTGTGAGTGATTTGGTTAATTTGTTATGCCCTGCAGGTGGAGACACCTGGTCTGGTCAGAATGATATGAGAGCTGCCAGTGAAGCATTGTTCTGTTTGGTGAACCTGGGCTTGTTAATTCAGGTAGGTTTATTTTTGTATTATTTTTGACCGGTTTTGCTTTATCTCAAATACAGTGTACTGTTTTTGATGTTAAATAGTGAACTTTATGGATTCCCAAATATTGTATGTATTATGTCATGTCTAGGATATTTTACATAAATGTCGAGAGGTTGAATTAGAAATCCACATTCTGCTGTTTATATTCTAAAATGCATTTTACCTACCTGGGTCAATAAGAAATAATCACAAAATTACAATTAAATAAGTCCATATATTATTTGACATTTTATGTTGGAGTCTGTTGAAGACCAAACCAAATGGTAAGAGGGAACATTGTATTGACCTTTATCAAACAATTCTGTAATTAAGGATTTTTAAAGGAATATTTAAATATGTTACGTGAAAAGCCATTAAATCCTTTAGTAAGTAAAGTACAAACTGCATACTCATGGGGCAGGTATAGGCTTCAGAGATTTAGGACGTGGCACAAACTGAGTCAGCATGTTAGACTTCACGCTGCCATAATAAAGAGTGCTGTAATTATCCACGTGCCCGTCATTAGACCAGTAACGTGGTGCCTGTTAGGCTTCTTGGAAACGCTTAACCGATTTCAGACGTGCTCTGATGTTTTAGGGTGAACTGACAATTATTGAGTTTCTTTGCATTTATCATGTTTAGAGTGATAATAAGTGGCATCCTTTTGTAAACCTATTTGAGTTTATTTTTAAAATGTACTAGTTAGACTTCATAGTTTAATCTACCACAGCACCAGTACCATACTAAGACATTTTACATGACTAAGCCATGAGTTGGAATATTGAATGTTGACAGATTCAAGCAGTACTTTTAAATTCTAGAGAAGGAAGGTTTAACATTTCACTTACATGTTGATGTAGGTGAAACCTTACCATGATTGTGTAGTAGATACCACTAACAATTATGATAATACCAAATTCAATCAATTAAATTTTATTTGAGCATTAAATTAATTAAGCAATTAACTCATTGTATCCTCTGTATAAAATGTAATATCTGCATAGGATGTCACATGCTGAAGGCAATAAAAGACTAGGTCTAAAAATGAGACCAAAAGCAGAAAAAAAACAAAAAAAAAAACTTGGTTTTATTCAACAGTATAATCTTTGGCCTTACCCTGTAACATTTGTTAGGAGGCTAATTATCTTAGTGAATTAGTAGAAATGTTAGATTAATTGTACTAGAGGATAAAAGACCCAAATAGAAGAAAATAGCCTATTAATGTATTTCCTTCATTTATCAGCCCTGATGGCGCCTAAATTATTTTTAAGCTGGAAGAAATCTGTCAAAGTAGGTATGTCTGTCTGATCATGAGGAAAGTAAACATTTGCAGTTTTTCCACCTAGCACGTGCTGAAAGACCTACAGTTGGTGGTTTGACTTCATTACCATGCTTTGATCTCAGATGTTTTTCTGTTTGTGGCATGATGGGATGGGCTGGGTTGACTCGCCTATTGAGGGTACATCCCATGTCCAATTTGGAAGACAATAATAGAGCTCTGAAGCATCTTGTACCGCAGGGACATGAAAATGAGTAATTTTTCTAGTCTTAGTAAAACTTTAAGTACAAGCCTTTTGTACGTCTGTAGTCTGTAATACACTGCAACAATTGTTTTGTTTTGTATAAAACATCCTATGTATTCTAAAGTAGTTTAGCTGCTGTATACTGTACTGTGTATAATTACATTTACAGCCTTAAAGTGTTTCAAAACTATAGAAGTATGAAATAATAACTGTCACCTTTTTGACCCTGGGCAAGAATCACAACCACTGTCAAAAACCTCATGACACGAATGAGCTTGCATGTGAGTAAATGTTCAGTGGGTTTGTGTGTGTGTGTTTATAATGACTATATATGCCTTCAGAAATGCATAGAAGCCACTAATCTAAGATCAATCAAACCCAGAGATTCATCACATGAACCCATGTATCATACAAGGGGCCCTGCTACACATGTGGTCACCATGTTCAAATACAGTCCTATGTGTAAGAAAAACATGTACTTACATGTACATATGCTCATTTCTTAACATGTATTTTACATACATGAGTTTCCAAAATTATACACAGGTCTATACTTATATTCAAGTTAAATTGTTTTACCAATATACATATATAGTACATTTTAACAGAACATTTAGTTTTCATATTAATGTAGAAGAAGAATAACTTTTGACTTGTACCTTCATCTGAGGTCAGCAGTAATAATATTGACAGAGATTTTACACCCAATGCCTTTCCTGATGCAGCCCAACCTAGGATTTGTGGATTAAGTACCATAGAACCTGGAGCTTTCTGGTGGCAGGTAGCTGAACGTATCCTTGATCCACTTTAGCCCCCTAAGTACTTTTCTTAGAACTGTTTTCCAAACATGTTGCATCTCTTTCTGCTTTCTGTTGAGATTCCAAAACAGATTTTGATTTTGAGGTCTGGGTTCTGTGGTGTTGGAATGAAAAGCTGATACAGTTCCATCTTTTATTTGATATTTTAATGGCATTTTGGCAGTTTGAAGGTCTGAAATCGTTGTCATCCTATAGACTAACACACTGCTCAGAAAGCATGGCTATGATGGCAAGTATATGACACAACAGAACAGACTTAGATACAGCCCAGAGTTTACTTATTTATTTAAACACATTTTTAATGTTTTACAAAAGGATTATCTGGAAAAACCAAAAAAACAATTGGCCTCCCCAAAAAATTGGCATTGACACTATTATTCCAGCAGTGCCATCTGACCTCTTTGCATTCTTTCATCCTTTAGCTATTGTTTACCTCAGGATTAGAAAGAATTTGAAAACTTTATTCTTTACATGTGTGTGGATGCAGCTGTTGTATCAAAAATGGACTTAATGTTTTGGATGGCTTTGTAAACTCGAGTGTTAATAACTTGCAGATGCTGTACACATTGAGGAGAGGTATTAATTGTGTAGCATGTTTCAAAAGTTGCCAAAACATCCCTAATATGTCTGAAATTCAACACAATGCCCCCACCATCCATGATGTCATCTCCTGTTTTTTTTTTTTAGAAATTGCCACCTCTCACTTGACAACTGGGCATTCTGTTGAGGTTGAAGTGCCGAGGTGCAATTCCAACCATTTGTTGACCATTTGTGGGCGCTGTAAACGATAGACTGAGATCCATTTGATCTTAACTCTTTCCGCTGGAGTTGCTGATGAATTCACACAATGGTCTGTTTGTCTCTTTTTTTCTTCTGTGACAAAGTCTGATCTTTTTGATGTACTCTTTTTTTTAAACTCTTTATACTCTACTCTTTTATAGAAGGCTTTGTACTGTCTCTTTAGTACTAAAGCTGGGGAAATGGTACTATATGTGGGATTAGTATGAGATGTAGATTGTATTCTTTTACATTCTATAGCCTCCATTCAATTTGGCTTGAGTTCAGAGGCAACACTGAGATGATTTATTACTTTTTATGGAATACATCATGTACTCGTAGATGCAGAGACTCGCCTGCTGTACCTTTAGGAAATGTTGTAAATTCTGTCTTCGCTCATGAGAAACTCTGATCTAAGGGTTTAGAGTTGTGTCGTGTCTGTTATATCTAAAAACCAGAGCCAGCAACTATTTATTTAGCTTAGCTTGGCTGAGAGACTAAAAGGGAAGGGAAACAGTGAGACTTTTCAGAAGCTGAATTCGTCTCCTCTGCAAGTACAAGAACACAAGTTTAGAGTATATTTAAGTGCTTTTGAAAATTTGGGGAAAAGCCTTTAATTACCTTAAAAGCTTTAGAGGTTAAGGGAGAGAGAAGGGGTTGGAGAAAACACTGAGACACTTTGATACAGGTAGTGAACTGAAAGGCAGACTTTAGGTGTGAATGATAAAAACTAAACTTGTGGCTTTAGTTTCATGCAGTCTCACCTAAACGTTTACTGTAGTTCCCTGTAACATCCCTAAAATAAAATAAAAATAAATAAATGGATCTGAATTTGGTGTTTGAAAATCCCTGGGTTATTGATTTAACTGAGAAAAAACATTGTAGAACAGATCTGTCTTCTGATTTTAATTGAAAATGGGCTGTAGTAATCTTTCAAATCCTAATCTAACAAATCATTCTTAGTCCTCTGTGAAATAGGTTACATTTAATACATTTTTAATTAATTAATTAATAATTTTGAATAAATCTATTTTACTTTTTTGCATGTATGCGGTGTTCTATCAAATTACAATACAGGAGTCTTTGACTTACATTGCAATTCTGCTCCTTCGGGACAATGTAACTCAATTTTTGCCGTAACGTGGAACTTGCATAGTATACATAAATACCTATGTCACTCACCTATGCTAACACAGTGGTAATGACATAATTAAAAAATAAAGGGCAAACAGTTCCCAAAAAAACAAACAAATGAAAGACAGTGAATGTAGCACAATTCAATGTATGATGTAAACTAGCAAATGTAAACAAAGCCATCTTCTGCGTTGTGACATTGGTCTGCTCCACGTGCCCCCTACATTGGTGTGATGGAACAAAACCTTTTAAGTAAATTTATTGGAGATGGCGACATAACCCTGAAAAATCGTAGACTAAGTTTAGGTTCCCGGTTTTCAGGAAATACGTCTTTGAAAGCCCTGAATTCCAGCATGCAGGGTGCTAGCACTGGGCAAGAATGTATCAAATTAGTGTTGCGCTAGGATGAAGGAGGTCAATAGTGTGCTTGTACTGTTGTTTAGCAGAGCTAACTTTGCTTCTTCTTCTATGTGCTTCTCCTTTACCTCCATGTCTGAATCCTGTGAGTTACATTACTGTGACCTGCTAAAAATAATTAATCTTAAGAACATCCTGCTAACTTGCAAAAAGAAGAAAGGAAATTAAAGAATTATAACAGTGATCTGTTTTCTGTCACATTGTCAGACTGTAGCAGCATAAGCCATAGCACTAACCAAATGAATTTTCCTGATCAATTGAAATGTAACCATTTTGTCATTTTATTGAATTTACATGTGATGGGCAGTGAAAACTA